CTATGCTAATGTAACTCCATAGTGTAGAAGCAGCCTAGAGCAACAAAATCGTTTTTTCCATTGCTATAGAAACTCCACTGCCCTGAGCAACATTAGTGTGTAGTATAGACCCCAGGGTTAGGTTGGTATAGAGGTGGCTCAGGTTTGGATTTTTCCACACCCCTGAGCATTGTAGCTATGTCAACTTACATTTTTTAAGTGTAGGTCAGACCTAACATAATATATATGCACATGGCAGCTGAACAATGGTTGAAAATGCAGCCATAACATTGGCTTTTCCTAACTTTCAAGTGCTTTACTTTGCAATCTTACCTTTTTAAGGGTTTTTTATTGTAGCATGAATCATAATATCAACAGCCACAGATTATCCAGGCTAAATAATTGAAAGACAATCTTAGTTATTAGCAATATCATTAATTCTGTAACTGAAAATAAAAAGTTGTAAATGTCGGTACTTTCACCATTTAAAAAAAATAATTACATACAAAATGCCAATGCTGTCTTGAGTATCTAAGCTTCGCTGAAGGGAAAATTGGATATTATGTAATTTTGAAATAGAGATCCTGCCTCTCATTTTTTCTTTATTAATGCCACCACAGCATAAAGTGCTACATTAGTATGCTGGATGTTATTAATGTTTAACTAGACTATATTAAATATTTTAATAAAACTATAGTTTGAATAAGTGCTTCAACAGCTATAAATATGAAACTCTCTGAACAAGTTTTATTTTCCAAAATCTTATTAAAATGAAAAATGAGGGTGGAGATATACAGCAAAGATAGAGTGTGGAAATGTACTCAGTCATTCCCTATGTTGTAAAGGTCCCCTAGCAAAATCAGTTTTCAGTGCTAGTAGCCTTGCACCTTCCAAATACACAACTGTCTCTTAAATAGATGGAATGAGAAAAAAAATAGGACCAGGAGCTCAATAGAATGTTTAATGTGGGTTGGGAGAGAATTAAATTTATGACTATTACTGATTTAGGAGGAAATCTTTTATGAGCCATGAGTTTCACTTAATGCTTTTCAACTAGGAGTTGGGAGTGTAGATGGATGGAAAAGAAAACTGAGTCCACAAAAAAGTGTAGGACATACAGTATATGCATATAGATGTGTAGACATCAAGTATAAACTTTAATGGCATATGTCATGATTATGAGGGTTAGCCAGCAGCCTGGGGATTAAGAGGTTAACTACACCTAGCCAGATGGAGTGACCAGTAGGAATGTAGGTGGGACTTTCAAACTGGGACAAAGGAATTTGGTTTTTTTTTCCTTTCTCTCCTTTTGTCTCTCTGTGTGTGCTCTCTGCAGCTACAGAGAGGGACAAGCATGTCTCTCTCTCTCCAAGACACCATTCTTCATTTTCTGTAAGTAGGGTAAAGTTTAGGTAGTTTCGTTAGGCTTCATTGTTTTAAGGGTTGGGCATGGGATCTGATATCTGGCACTGTTTAAAATATGTTTTGGTTTTTCTTTGTAACTAAGTTCTAGGCCCATGGAGTTTCTCCATGAGTATATTTTGTTCCTTCCCATCTAGTCATTATGCCTGCAATATTGTTGTAATAATAAAAGTTCTTTCTTTTCTTTTTATTAACCTGGCATTGGTTAATGGTGTGCCCTGATTTTTATTTTAGGGGTGAGATTTCCCAAATGATCTTTCCCCTGGTTTCTTTATCAACATTTGGGTGGTGGCAGCGGAAGTTTTATTCCCAAGATCTAGGTTTTTAAGATTTTGGTGGAAGTTTTATACCAAAGCCTGGTAGATAAGGCTTTGGGGTACACTTGCTGACCCCCACTTCTGCATTTATCATGCCAGAGTGGGGAAGGAGCCATGACAGCATATTCTTAAAAACTTTATGTTAATAGGATTTAATAAGTTCCTTTGAAGCAGCTGGATTTTGAGCCATTATAGCTGGAATAAACCCAGTATTGCAGATGTGATGATGATGACACAAATTCTTACTTTAATGAAAGATTGCCTGTCTGAAGTGTAAGTATGAGATATGTGAATGGGTGAAGAACTACTTCTGCAGTTTTGTATTTTTGTGACTCAAAAAACAATGGGTCATAAGTATGTTCAGGAAGACAGCAGAACCTAAAAATCAAGAGGCCTCTGAAGAATCTCAGTTGTTCACCTAAAGACAAGGTGATCACACTAAGTCACTGACATCTCCTGCTCAGGATTGAACAATCAGTTGAGGTGAGACACCTGTGATTCCCCATCTGGATCAGAAAGTCATAAAGGGAAGCCCAGCAGGATGATACTATGCAGAGTTTCATGCTAAAAAGACTAGGTAAATCCTCTTGGGATCACCACAATGACAACTCAGCAGCTGATATTCTTACTTCCCTTTCCAAAGAAAGTACAGACAAGGATGTCATAGACCAGCCTGCTGACCCAAGAATGATGCCTGATAACAAGGCAAAGCCAGAAGACATTGCCGGTGTAACGCCGACAGATGGAACACTTTGTGCATGAGCATCTACGGCTTGAGCTAAAAGCCAGTTGGCTCTGAGCTAAGGCTGTAGTTTAGGAGCAGGGAACCTTTTTTAGGGTCAGGGGCTACTGACCCACAGAAAAATCAGTCGGGCAGGGGACAGAAGGGGCTGGAGTGCCAGCACAGGCTCCCCATGCTGGGGGGGAGGAGGAGCCCAGAGCCCCAGAGGAGGGATCCAGGCAAGCCAGGGACCACATCTGGCCCCTGGGCCTTAGGTTCCCCATCCCTTCTGTAGATCAGCCATTCTTTCTCTCTGTAAGTGGTCTTAGTGCCACTACATGGGACAATACACCACCCACAGTAGGTGTGTGTGTTACACCTTGTTCTCCAAAATGCAGTTCCTAATGGACTCGAACATTCTACACACAAGCGAGCTAAAGAACAGATACTTTTTCTAACTAACTATTATTTTTGTCTTTTTCAAAAAGAATACCAGTGGATTGACGACAACCAGGAAAGATGTGTCCTAGCTATTGTAGGTGAGGATGTGTGTGTGCAATGCCTATAATAACAATAGTACATGCATATATAAACCTATGTAATAAGTTACCATTCGGTACTGATTAACCTTGGTTCAAAGCAAACCTTATTACGGAGTCACCTAACATATATAAAGATTTAAAGATTAACCTGTTCTTTCCACTTGGGAAAATATAAGCTGCTAAGTGAACTGCATAGGGATAGAAAATATTAAATAAGTAATTTAATAAGTCATTGGTATTATGTTAATTTTGTAATTTGAATACAGATTATGCTCAGCAATAACTTGGCCATTTGTTGGTCTGCCAGGCCCTTCCACACAAAGGGGACACTGGCTTGGGGCTGAGCAGTATGGAACGGCATCTACTTCTCCAGCCAGCAGCAGCCCCACCCACCACCCGTGGAAGGAAACATTCGCTCTGGGGGAGGAAAGGGGAGGTTGCTAAGGCTCTTGGTACAACTCAAAGAGGTGGAGATAATATGTGTTTCCCTTCAGTGCACCAGCTACCCCCTCCTCTGCAAGAGGGTGCTGCATTCACCCCATACACTCCCTCACCCGCTCTGGCTGGAGGACTGCCCTTTTCCATCCCCCCACCTACCAGGCCAGGTAAGACCTGGCAGGGCAAGCAAATGAACTGGGATTGTGCCTTGAAAACTCAGCAACCATGGGTGTGAAAAGTCTTAAGATCTGAAGCTTAAGGGTTCTGCTCTGAGTTCCCCCTTGGGGGAAATAACAAAGAAGGGCAATCATTTTATGCTAAAATCCTTCCCTTGCCCTTTTCACAGTGCAGGTTCATTAGGCCTGACATTGCAGTTGTGCAGATTGTAGTGAACTGAATTTCATGCTAAACTCTTTGTTTGCCATAACTAAGAATACTATAATCTAGCTCCACTCTATTCACGGGTATGGTTATAAAATTATCATTGTTTTAAGCATTATAATTAAATTAAGCAGCCCTTTTCTCACTGAAGCTAAGTGTTTTTTTGCTGTTCAATAAAGACAAGCACTATATTTTTCTTTCATAAAGCAAATCATGTATGGAATGAAAGAGAACTGATTATCTGAAGAAATGGAATAGGTCTGGTTTGATTTAATAATGGGCTGGGGAAAACAGGGGGGAAAAAGCAGGAAGTTTCCTTCATAACATAGGCTATGTCTAGAATACAGGCTTCTTTCGAAAGAAGCTTTTCTGGGAGAGATCTTCCGAAAAAACTTGTTCTGAAATAGAGCATCCATGCTGCCAAAGCGCATGAAAAAAAGCGATCTGCTTTTTCGAAAGATAGCGTCCAGACTGAATATATGCTATCTCTCATGTAAGCTGTGATTACTATGGACAGAGTGGCCATGAGGGCACCTGTGCTTTTTCGTCTTTCCTCTTCTTGCAAAAGAACTCCTTCTTGCCTGTCCATAAATGCCTTTTTCCGAAAGAGCTCTTTCGCAAAAAGGCTTCTTCCTCGTAGAAAGAGGTTTACCAGTGTTGGGAAAACTCCTCTGTTCTTTCAATTTTCTTTTGAAAGAACATGATTGCAGTGTGGAAGTAATTGAAGTTTTTTTCAAAAAAACAGCCGTTTTTCCAAAAAAAAAATCTGTAGTGTACACATACCAATAAAGACAAAATTCATTCCCAATTGTTTTGTCTTGTTTAGAGCAGCCTTACTGCTGGGTTTAAATGAAGAAACTTTCATTTGTGTAGATTTTTTAAAAGTTTGAAAAATCACATAGAAAAGCTAGATTTACAACATGTCCTAACAGTCAGAACAAGCAGTGTTTAAACTAAATATCAGCAATGCCCTGTCAGGAATGTGAATACTCAAGTGCAGTCAAAATAAGATAATTTTCACTAGTTTTTTGTAATGTAGTTCATGCCAGATGGGAAGGTCAGCAGTATTGGGTTGTAATGATTAAATTGCAATATATTTCTTTTTGTATAGGAAAAGACAATAAATGTTGCAAATGCAGCAACAACAGTTTCATGTCAAGAATGTGAATATTCATGGTCTGAAGATAGGAAAAATGCATTGGTTTTTGTTACACGGTTTATATTTTCTTCTTGAATGTCCAATAGATTCAGAGCTCAGGTGCATCATAGTTCAAGAATGGAATTGCTACTTTGCCATAAAGTTTTTTTGTTTTTATTTTGTGATTCTTATATCTATAAAGCATGACTGATAATAACTGTGAAAACTATACCCGCAGCAGAAATGTTCCATAAAAATATTATTCTGCACTTCAACTGGCAATGTTGGACTACTGCAAACTATTTACCTCTGCATCCCAAGAGCAGGTAGGGTTTGATCCTGTCCTCAGATGCATACAGATATGTACAGTATCACAGTGCTGTGTGTAAGATAGGCACACTTGAGTGTTGAAAATCCCTTTGGACAATTTTAAAATACATTGGACTTTGCAGAATAAATAACTTCTTGGAGAAAAGAGATGCCAGATTCGTACCATCAGATTTCAGGGTTGTGCCTGTAATACCACAGCTAAATTTAGTCAGAAGTTTTTGCAGGGAAAGTACTATTGTATTTATTGCATTAAAATACTCACCAATTCAGCAATTTTTGAGATTACTTAATGGAGGAGGCAATTGGGCACCAGTCATTCCTGGGCTCTGTGCCCAGCTTTTGCAGGGACTTGTTAAGCAATTACTTAACTGGTTTGTGGCTCTGTTTTATTTATATATTTTTTTTAGAAAACAGGGTAAGAATATTAAGTACCCTTTAGTGGCAGTGGATGGTTTATTTCACTGCAGCATTGTCTAAGGCAGTGTTTCCCAATTGGTGCTCCGGGGAACCCTGGGGTTCTGTGGAGCAAAACTAGGGGTTCCGCGAGGAGACGGCACTCCCCCGCCCCCTCTGAAAAAGAGAGAGAGCCGGCTAGCCAGCAGAGGCATGGGCAGCAAGTTGTGTGGGCTCGTGGTGCTCATGCTCCAGCAATATTTAGAGCTGGAACAGGTTCCGACCACACACACCGCCCCCTCCCCCCCGCGCGCATCCTCCCACCCTAACCCCAGAGCGTCTCTCCCCAGACCCGGACCCGTCCCTGCCATACGCAACCTTCACTGAGCTCCCCCTAGCTGGCTGCTGCTGTCCTGCGCAGCGCGCTCAAACCAGTGGGTGGGGAGACACCCGGATGTGACGTAACATCATGGCCCAGGATTTTAAACCTGCTGGGCGCTGTGTTGCACCACATGGCTGAGTTGCGGGTTCAGAGTCCGGGGACAGAGCACAGACTCCAGCCCCGCACAGTGGAAGGCAGAGGGTACAGGAGAGGGAGGGAAGGGGCTTGTGCAGAGGGAAAAGGGAAGGGCTGGGAGAGGAAGGTGCTTGTGCGGAGGCAGAGGGGAAGGGGAAGGCACCAAAGGGACGGGGGGAGGAGAGACAAATGCCAGGGGGCCAAGTGCAGAGAAGAGGAAAAAGGCAGGAGGGGAGGGGTCAGTGGGAGGGGGACAGGGTGATGCTGGAGGGAAGACGGTAAGGGCATTGGGGGCTAGAGTGGGGAGAGGGAGGGGCTGGGAGAAAGCTTGAAAGAAGGGGGGGGCA